AAACTTCTCCCATCTTAAAATCTTGCTGTCGATGAAGGCTAAATAAAAAAATCTTTAACCTCATCATGTAGCTTCCGTAAAATTAATGCAACTTTTTATTTATAGGCTACTTGTAGGCTAATCCATAAAAACATTAAATATTCCTAGCAGGAGGGTGAACATTATAGGCTTTAGCCTTACGTCATTTATAAACATATATTTATAGCAATAACCCAAGTGTATAATGCACCGTGATAGGTTACGTGTATAGCTTGTATACTTGTATAGTAAATAAAGAGCAGGGTTACTATAGGGGCGGATACTCCAACAGCTGCGATAAGCGAACAAGAGGCATCAGCTGACGAGTTGGCAGAGCTGCACAGCAACAGCGCACCGGGGAGGGTTTGCAGGGACTGCTGGCTGACACACAGCACGGCTGGACGTGTACGCTGTTCACCATTTTGGGTGTAACAGTGGTTGTACGGGAGGATAAATTGCCGTGACCTCTTTTTCAGTAGGTTTGAAAGAGGCAGCGACGCGCATGCAGCGAAACCAGACACAAAATGGGAGCAGCGGGTTTGTTTAATAAATGCACCCGGAAATGTGAGAAGAAGCAGCCTAGTGAATATCCGTGGAGGCACATGGTAGCTTTTGTTAATTAGTCTACCCGTAGCTTAGCGGTGCGGCAGTATAGAGGGTTCACTTCATAACACCTTTAACGCTGGTTCTCACACAGTTGTTTACAAGATAGAAACTTTGTATTTGAAAAAAAAACAACATATTATTCAACTTACAAATAGCCTATAGTTCTTAATTCTAGGCTAATAAACACAAACGATGAGCCCACCCATAGAATTAAATAGGAAAATAAAATATAAGATAGACCATAAAACATAATTATGGTTGCCTATTTGCTGATATGACTTGTGGATCTCACATGAGCGTACAGTTTACATTACTTTGGAATATATTTCAGCCAATAAAAACTAAGAAGTATGTTTCAATTTCATGAACATAATTGTTTGTTTTATATGTCCTAAATTTCGACCTGTAGCCTTTATAAAAGCAAAGTAAATCAAGAATACAACGTGGTTAAATACTACATAAAATACCTAAAAGAATGGGCTCCTCTCAATGGCTGCAAAATGAACATGTCGGAACTTCAACAACACAAAGTCATTTGTGCAGGAGTACTTTGGTCTTATTAGGGGCCACTTAGGCTTAATTGGCTCTGTCACTGCACATGACAATACCTATGGTCAGTACACATATAATGGGTTTGGTCTTTATTTTAGAAATAGTAAATGGTTAGATAATTGTGGCTTTTCCTCAAAATGTTAATATAAAATAAATAAATGAATACGATCTCTCAGGCTTCTAGGTTAATCAAGTCTTCTTTCAGGTGGCACTATGCCCTCTAGTGGTGGCATGGTGAAAAGGAGAAGAGGAAAATCTGGTGCACAGTTTTGCACCCCATCACTGGATGCCACATGGGAGGACAAAAGAGAAACATCTCACAATGAAATACAAAAACTCTGTCACTAAATTTGTCAAAATGGTAGCCTTGAAAAACCATGTAGCCTATAAAACAGGTGCTGATGGTTGCTTTTGAGGTACAGTTGTCACTACCTGAAGTGATGGTGCATCAGTCATAAATGTTACAACATTAAAGCAACATCATGTAGTAGTTTTATATTAAGATAACAGCTTCAAAATCATTTTGATGGTACACTGACTTGTAACAGGGTGAATGACGTCTCTGTCATTACCACTCCGGGCTTCCTATGCCAGCTGTAACATTGGCATCCCGGGCTGGACGTTTATTATGACGGCATAATAGTTAACAGCACCAGCCCTACTCTTCAGCAAACTATAAGAAGCAAACACGTACAATGTCAGTTCTTTGGAGGAAGCTAGCTTGGTAATGAGTATCATGGCAGAGGCTGTGAAGAGACCGAAGAAGACGTTGACGGAGGAAGCAAGGAAGAGAAAAATAAAGAAAAACCAAGCAAGAGACCAGGACAAGAGAGACATATGTAGAGCTGGCCTTCTTTCTGTTGGACCATCTTTCTGCTATGTCTTGGGTTGTTGTTGTTTGCCTGTGTTAAGCCCAAAGTCAACTCGAGCAGAATCAAAGGTTTCACAGACAGAGGTTTAGCCGCTAGCTATAAATCTCAAGTTGATGTTAACAAACTTATTAGCTAACACCCTTGGACACTGGTAACATTAATGTAAGTGTTCTTGCGTTGGTGACTGTCTATCGTTGTTGGCTAGCTTGCCACCCAAGTTTCAAGCAACATTATGCTGCTGCTGGTGGAGTGCGGCGCCGGTCGGGCAACATAATCGGGCTCAGCAGCCTCTATGGAAAAGAGACCAAAGAGGACTTTGACAGAGGAAGCTAAGAAGAGAAAAAGAGAGTGACCAAGGAAGAGGCTCCCAGACAGCTTTGAAATAAAAGGCTGCAAGACAGATGCCGAGCTGGCCTTCTTTCTGTGTATACAGATGTACTACAAGTAAAATTGCTATGTCTTGTGTTGTCACACCTGCTTGATGTTTGGTTGTGTTGGCAAAGTTGTCAATTTGCTAGTTTTTGATCATAAGGTAATAATAACAAATGCAGATGTACAGCTATCCTTATTTAATTACGACTAATTACAATTTATTTACGGCAGTGAATTATTACACTCTGAAACGGTAGGGCGCCAAATTGCACCAAATCTCACATAATGTTGATTTAAAAGCATGATGAGAATGTGTTGCATTAACAGAAACTGTCAACAGGATTGTAGCAGATTTCACCATCCACCAGATTTCTAAATGATTCTAACTTGAGATAAAAGAGAATTAGATTAACACTCAACTCAAAAATTTTATCAACACCCCTGAACATCTAAACAAAAACGTAACATTACGAGTTTTACCAAATGATGTGTTATTGATGTGTAATATACATGTTTGTGTGATTTAGACTCTACACTTATGTCATATATTGCTATTAAAGCCTGGAAAAAAACAAATCAAATAATTAGGCTACATAATAATGTCTGTGTATTTATCATTTCCATTTTGTATAAATAGAAAGGTTAAATTTTTAAAATCTAATATTTAACCTTTATATGTAACATATTTTTTCTGAATTCAGTTACTCATCTTTTTTTCCAAACACAATCTTTTAAGTGTAATCTTATGATGTTGTTATTGTGGGAAACAAATAAGATTAGGAAAAACTTCAAAACTTTGACTTAATAATTATGTGATTTGATAAATGGGTATCTATGAATGACTGGAAATTGTCAAAAGGCCAGAAAGAGAATCATTTAATTTTTGACATTTTATCAGATATTTTAGAGAGGCATAAATATTTATGAGTTAAAGTCATGGTATTTGTGGTTTTGGACTTAGGTTTTTGTTCTTAACAAACTGAAAAAAATTATAAACGCAACACTTTTGCTTTTGCCCACATTCATCATGAGCTGAATTCAAAGATCTAAGACTTTCTCTATGTACACAAAAGGCCTCTTTCACTCAAATATTGTTCACAAATGCGTCAAATGGTATTAATGAGCACTTCTCCTTTGCTAAGATAATCCATCCACCTCACAGGTGTGGCATATCAAGATGCTTATCAGACAGCATGGGTATTGCACAGGTTCCCCTTAGGCTGGCCACAATAAAAGGGCACTTGAAAATGTGCAGTTCTATCACACAGCACAATGCCACAGATGTCGCAAGTTTTGGGGGAGCGTGCATTTGGCATGCTGACTGCAGGAATGTCCACCAGAGCTGTTGCTCGTGAATTGAATGTTCATTTCTCTACCATAAGCCTTCTCCAAAGGCGTTTCAGAGAATTAGGCAGTACATCCAACCGGCCTCACAACTGCAGACCATGTGTAACCACACCAGCCCAGGACCTTCACATCCAGCATCATCACCTCCAAGATCGTCTGAGACGAGCCACTAACCACACAACAATCGGTTTGTAACCAAAGAATTTCTGCACAAACTGTCAGGAACGTCTCAGGGAAGCTCATCTGCACGGACATCCCAATACAGTGAAACTGCACATTTTCGAGTGGCCTTTTATTGTGGTCATACCCATGCTGTCTGATCAGCATCTTGATATGCCACACCTGTGAGGTGGATGGATTATCTCGGCAAAGGAGTAGAGCTCACTAACACAGATTTTGACTGATTTGATAGATCAATTGATTAATCGACTAATCAGTAATCGCTTCAGTTTTACTTTCTTTAGGTCAGACTTTGGATTAGGGTTTCATTTACAAAACATACAATCTTTGCTTTGCTTTAAAATAAATTTGCTCCACCAGGATCAGCAACATTAATGCATCTTTATTATATTATTATTATTATTATTATTATTATCGTTATTATTATTATCCAACAGTAGCTTTGGAACAGAGTACTTTTTTACAGTATGGTATTGCATTTCTGAATACTTACCTCACCTGGCCCTGACCTACACCCAGCCTGTCCTGTCCCCAAAGATCAGGAGGCGCACCTACACCTGAAAGCATGCACGTAGCCACAAGTACAGAAAATAAATGCTGTAAGTGAAGAATAAATCATGCTTACTTTTAATGAAAAAATATCATATTTTTAGAATATTGTCTTAATACTCTGTCGTGGAGTAGTGTTTACTGTAGCACATAGTTGAAAGTGTTGTTTTGATTATTAATTTATAGGGTTGGAAATGTACATTATTAGTAAAAGCGATGGCTGTCTGGAAGTCAGAACCTTTCACTTATAACACTGTTTTGAATGACAGCTTGGTGAGGCAGAGGTGGTGGCCAGCGAGAGAACAGAGATACAAAACTCTGGAGAAGAAGACATTTAGCAGGACAACAAGCAGATGGGTATTACGCTACCCTTCATGAAGGCCTGTTGATGGAGGGAAGCTGTGGCAGAGAGAAGGCCATGAGGACAGAGAGAGAGAGGGGGAGAGTTTGGAGAGAAGCCGGGGACTGCCCCTGGTGGAGGGGCGGAGCAGTAAGCATGCGCTGAGCTGGCAGACTCTGAGCTGGTCCTGACGGGCTGGCTGGGCTCCGGGCGGCTGTCTGTGCGCGTCAGACGGCTGTGGGGGAGACTACCATCAACACTCACACAGCGTGTGCTCGAGTGCTTAGAGGAGAAAAAAAGGAGAAGAGTCACGGGGAAACTGCGAGAAAAGACAGCAAACAGCCCCACCTCGGCATCTGGAAAAGCACCGAAGAAGAAGGAGACGATCCTCCCCCTCCACCCCACACCCCGTCGCCAACCCGCCCTATCTACCCTACCCACCACTTCGTGCCATCCCTCCGGTCTGAACTGCCCTCCCACCCCGCCTGGAGAACCACGACCACCCATAGGAAACCCCCACTTGACCAGCGTTGCCATTAAGCGATGCGCTTTGAATTTAGGGAGAAATCATCTAACCAGTGGTCTTCATTTTTCCTCAGCGGGAACAGTTAAGGCTACGGATTTGGGTGTTTACACTTTTTGACGGGTTTCCAGTAGCATGGTAACATGCAGAATACATCATCCCACGGCAACAGACAAGGCTGTCATACTATAGATTAGACTTTATTTAAACAACCAGCTGTCACGCACGCTGCGTTTGAGCTTATGTTTCATTTTTCCATGCTTAGAAAGAATCCCGACAATGGTCTGGAAACGGACCGCCTCTCCAGACACCTAGTAATATTTTTTCAAGACGCATCAGCACTGTATTTCATTTTTATCGAAGAAAAAGCGACACACTGACGAGGAGTCATTTGACACCTACGCCGCTTGAGCCATAGGACTTTGTGTGCGAAGTTTGCACCGGGAAGAGGGGGGCCAAGTCGGAGATATCTCGGCCATATCCGCGGCATTTTCCCTGTAAGGTAAGCCTGGAGCAGCGTGCATGTCAGTCCCTGTATATTGTGCCTGTTGTCATGTGCGTCCACGTTGACCTGAGTGCGCTGCTACAGTGTGAAAAAAAATCTCGAGTTCAAACAGGGTAGTGACCTATTTTCAGAGACTCTCCAGCGGTGCACCCGTATCCTGCAGCCTGGACTCCCCACACAGTCGTATTCAAGGCCGGTCGTGGCGGACGTGCCTATACCGGCGTTTGTGCCATTTACGCAAACACTATGTCAACCTATTTCAACATGGGAGCGACCTTCTCCGCGTGTCTGCGTCCTCTCTTAAACTAGAGTCCACCTCGTCAACCCTGAGAGACATTTTTAGAGCAGCATCACAAATCCTGTCCTATACAGGGGCATACATCACAGCTCAGCCAGCTGTTGTGCAAGATGCAGGCTTGCATTGAGCTCTCTGATGTTCTGTCACAACATCTGATAAAGAGTTCAACGTCTACAGACTGCTGACAGTAACTTACACCAGTGATGTATCGGTAAATAAAGAGGTGGCTAAACTGTGACCACCACATGAGGTACACATCCACCAAAAAACATAATGTTGAGATTTACTGTGTGTTTTCCACCTGAAAGACTAAATATGTTATTATTTCATGTCACCACGTTTTATGTCAGAAAGTGCACTTGAGTTCCTGGTCACAACAGCAGATACATGTCTACAGGACCACAGCCTGAGTTATTTCTGCTTAATAACCCCTTTTCAGTGTGGTCCACATACCTCTTGCCATTTTATCATTTTTGTTTAGACCAATTCTAAGTTAGCTGAGGCCAAGCATGTAGTGCAGGGGGCAAGGATGAGCACAGGCAGAGAGACCTAGATAAAGAGCTATTTTCCTCCAATTAAGCAATTCCACTGTCCCTAAGCCTAATTGTGTGCACACTGGGACAGGGTTCAGGATGGACCATCTCCCTATTGGCTGCCTCCCATGAACCCATTGTTCCAGAAGATGCCAGGGGAAAGAGCAGAGCCCTGCCAAGGCAGACCTAACAAGCCCCGTGCTGGAGTGGAATAAGGCCTGATCATTAAAAAGCATTAGGCTACAATGCAGATTGAGGCACACTCAGGGGGCTGCAGTTGTATTTTGGATCAGATTAGGATGGCTTTATATTTCCAAGGTGAATGTGAGGTACTGCATGAACAATATAATATGTGGGTGCATGTGTCACACAAATATTATATGAGGCTGGAGGAGGTCTGGCTATGAGCCCACCGGACCCCTCTCAAAGTACATTGGGAAGAGGAGCAGTGAAAGAGGCTGCACATGCTTTGTGCAGAGGGAAGACTTTGACTCCCTTTCCTCCCTCCCTCTTCCAGGCCCCTGCTATTTAATCCATAACCCCTCTCTGAACTGTGAGCACAGGTGCTCCACATATCCACAGCCTGTTCGCGGCATTGTTTATCCAATCAGCTGATGATCAGTTCAGTCACAGGTCAACCATAATATCCATTTGACAGAAAGACCAGGGTATGTATCACCGCCGGCACACCGGTTATCCTCTCTTACACAGCACTTAGTCACTGCAGAGAAAAGGCTCTCAGCTCCACCATAAAGCCAGATGTCCGCTGGGGTCCAGCTGTGCATCCCTATGGTGGCATTCCATGTTTACAGGATGTGTGTGTGTGTGTTTTTGTATGCAGCCTTTTTTTGCTGTACATTTTCTCATCCTGACTGCATGCTTTGGCCAGATGTGGATACTCGGACAGCCTGCACAGAGTTTTGGTCAGAGTTTGACACCAACTTGCTTCATCTACTGCAATTAGTACGCAAGAAAATATACCATAAAGGCATTGCATTACGCCAGTCTCTGAAATCAAATCACGGATGTGGTTGTCACCTCTCCTCCCCAATTTCCCTGTGCCTGGCGATTTTGCCCCACACCACAATTGCGTGACATCATACCCCTGAGGTCCCAAACTGTGTAAGGGAAAGCCAGCTGCTTTATGGTGGAAAAGGTGGACCCTAATGGCATATTCCTGCGTCAGAGCGCAACCACGAGGCATGTGGTAGAGGGATGGTGGGAACCCACAGTGCACTTGTACTTATTGCCTTAAAACCAGGCTAATAAAGGTCTACCGCATCTGATAAAAAGAGAAGCAAGTTCAGATGATTCTTACATTGTGAGCATGGTGCCACAAAGAAACCGATCTGAAATCCAAGTTGACAAGAGTAAGATTTGTTTTTCACACAGTGTAGTCAGCCTGTTGTGAAATATATGTAAAATATGTCTGCCACTGGAGGAAAAAAAAAAACTAGGACTGCGACCAATAAGTGGGTGGAATGTAAGTGGTACAAACTACACCGGGAGAGCCAGTGTGAGTGTTTGAATTGATATCACAGTGGGGTTCCATAGATGCTGGGGATTACTGTCAAGCTGAAAGGCAATTCAGCAGCAGGGGAGGGAGGATTATAGTGGTCAGTGAACGAGGCAGCACGCAGTGAAAACAAGACACCTGATACACACTTTCATTTATCTTCACAGGGACAAGAGCCACTTTATTTTAGATTCCCATGGCAGGTATGTCCTTTCTGTGGTTACACTTGTAGAGAAGCACTTGGTAGCAGTTAATGCTAATCAGATTTCTAATCAGACAGTTTTGTGATTCATCAATGAGGGTGCTAAACAGATGAAATATAACTAACATTTAGATTATGTCATGTTGAATAGAGTTGCACATCCCGGCATCTTGAGCTTTGAGTGTGCTCAAAATGTCAGAGGACATGCATGATGTAGCCAGATCAAGCCATACAAACAAACTGCTATCATTCAGGTTCACAATTTGCTGGTTATTGCTAACTTCACATCCTTACTTTGTAATAATACTTGGTTATTTTGCAGCTGATGTTGGCCGTATGGTATTCCAGTGGAAATCATAGGAGCCTCAAGGCTGAAAAAAATCAATGTGACTCATTAAAATCTAAGTAGAAACAGAGCTGATTCAATAGCTGAACTAAAGTTAAAGTCTAAAATCACAGAAAATTACTCTCTCAGCCCTCATATATGACAGTCTAGCTCTGTGCATTTTTTCCACAAAATATTTTATCACAAATCATTGCCACGTGTGCGGCTGTGGAGGTGACACACTCATACTTTGAAGTGCTGCCATGTGATGTGTCTGCGTGGGGTGATGGCCAAGCTCCTGAACCCCATACATTTAGAATAGACAAAGCGGATACAGAGCTTGACTCACACCAACTTGCAAACCGAAGGCGACCAGTGCATACCGCTTTGCTCCCTGGCTGGCTGGGCTCACGGACCGTGCATTTTTCTCCAGTTAAACTGTAACCACTAATCACCTCACGGCCTCACTGTTTCCTCCTGGAGCAGACCATTCCTGGGTCCCCAGGGTGGGTTAAAATGCCCCCTCGGGGGAATACATGGTCTGTGCTGTTTAAAATCACCTGTGTGGGACATCCCAAATGAGCACAGGACTCTTACTCTTTCTGCGAGGATCTGACACAGTGAAGTTTAGGGGTCAGTTCTTCTGTTGCAAGTCTGCAGAACTGCATTTCCAAAATAAACACAGACAACTCAGTTCCTCACTCCAGCTACCCCACCCTACCTCTTCTCATTCTCTTTAATGCTCTTTCTGCACTCTCTGCTCAGTGTTTCTATCGTGAGAGAATTTCAGCTCGCAGAGCTCTTCAGACAATATGCAGACCATGTCTGGGGCAGGGCACATAAAGTTAAAGAAAGAATACAAGAGTAAAGCCAAGGCCTGAAAGAATAACAGCAATGTAAAGGAGCTGTCAGAGAATGGGTGGAGGGAATAGACTATAGCCTGTTTTCACGAAGTCCATCTTGGCGTAGTTTCCGCAAACATACTTTAGTATTTTACTTATAGATGATAGTAAACTAGGATCTTGCTAGAGCTTTTAGATATCTGGGAGCTCACTTCAAGGAGCTGTGAGTTGTGGAGTAATAGGTTCACGGCAATCCAGTTTAAGTGGAGACACAGCTGGTTTGTATTATTATTTACTTACTTGGCCAACACCCTGGGTTCTCTACCCTCAATAGCACTACAGCAGTACAGTATGAGGTATGTATGTGTGTGTTTGTTTATTTAAAGAGAAAAGAAAGGGAGGAGTCGGACAAGAGGGGCTCTGCGTGTAAGCACGGGGGAGGAATAACATGCTGGGAAGGGACAGAGGGATTGATGGTGGGGTTTTTTAAAGAAGGGGATGAGAGAGAGACGGGTGAGGCATTTCTGAGACTCAACTAAGGCTCTCAAGTCTGGGCCTGGGCCTGGCTCCCTGTCTGGGCATATCCAGTCCTGTCAGCTAGCTTCCAGACTTTGCCCCCTTCACCCCCTCCCTCCTCCCTCTTTCCCTCCATCCCTGACTCCCTGGGACTCCATCTCCTCCTCGCTTTTTAACTCCGCTTCTGTTCCCTCTTTCCCTTCGTCCCTCCCTTGCCTTTTAGTCTCCCACTTTCCATGAGCCCCCAGTTTCATAAGTGACGCTTACATTATATAAGACATTCTCCATCTTATACATGCAGTTAAAGAGAGGGAGGGAGAGAGAAAAAAAAAGTTTGGCCTGTAAGTGTTTACCTTCTCTGGTGTTGTGGAGATGGTGCCAGCACTAATTCAATTCATATGTACCGTGGCTGTTTTTTTTCTTGTGAGGAAGCCTTATGTAATTTGAAAATGTTTTAAGTTTGAGGTTACATTTTGTGAAATAAAGACTTATTCTGACCTCAGATAATTCTATGAATAGCTTAACTGTTTTTATATGGTTGCTAAAAATCTTAATAATTGACTTTTAGTGGCTATCTTGAGTAATGGCCAGTCACTATCTTAACACAGCCGGGCTCTCTCTTTTACTGTGTCCGATTGCCTCTTAAGTGTCCTTGCTCCTTGTTGGCTCAGGTCTAAATAAATGGTGCTGTCAGTCACAGTAAGCTTGACTATTCCTTAATTGATTCTAAATGTCAGTATTGATTCAGGACAGAAGAGTTTATAA